ACTTCCTTTTAGGAACGCTTGTGTTTGCATTCAGAGACGTTGATGCGTCACCTCAGACACAGTAGTACTCCTGCATAAGCAACAAAAATCATTTCTAAAAAATTGCAAATATAAAAAAATTGCAATTTTACAGGAGTGACCAAGCCATGGTCGAGTTCTGCCTCTGATAGGCACCACAGATGATGGAATAAAAAGTTCCATTCCGTGAAATACCACATCAACGACAGAACTAGCAACAACGTTAGGATCATCCGGCAAAAAACACACCCAAACCAAAAGGTAGAATGCAAAAAAAGACCGCATCGTAACGGCGTAAATGGTAACGGAGGAGCAGGGGGTGCTAAGAATCTCTGGTGGAGGTTCGGTTGCCACCTACGACGACTCCACCTGGATGGACTCTTTATGATGAACTCTTTCTTTCAGAAGTGGCCCCACAGGAAGTGGACCAGATCGAGGCGCAACGGTTCGACAAGAAATGAGATTGTCTTCATTATGACGACTAAACGGCAACTGTTCAATGATGTCTCAGTAATCGTAAGGGTGAAAACTGGTAGCGATCACCGAATGGTTAGAGGCACACCGAGCCCAAACTTTAAGTTGGAGAGGTGTCGTCTAATAAAATCAACGCTCCGCCCCCTCGTGTTCTAATCCAATGTCCCGAAACCTTTCAGCTCGAGTTGCAAAACAGATTTTAGTACCTAGAAGATTATAATGCAATAGACGATACGAATGACAAACTCGTGAAAACTGTCCATAGGATCGGAGCTAAGTTTTACAAGACCTGCCGCAGAAGAAAACAAAAACTCTCCGATCACACTCTTAATCTCATCGCTGTTAGACGGAAAATGAAGCTGCAGTCTTCAATAGGTTTGATAGCATACAGGCAACTGACATATATGACCAAATCATCTGCATATTGTAAATTAGTAACATTTGATCCTAAAATATTGTTTAATTTAAATATGTATAAAATAAAGATAAGAGGACTTAATATTCCTCCTTGACAAACACCTTTATAACTGAGCCTAGGACCAATAATTGTATTATTATTATTAACTTTAGCAAAAACTCTTCTTTCGTGTAAAAAGTTAAATATCCATTTTACAATTTTTTCAGGAATGACCAAAGACCTCAACCCTGCGGCGAGTACATGAAGATTAACGTTATTAAATGCACCAACAATGTCAAAGAATATACTAATTAAGGCCGGCATAGACCACTTAGCACCATAGACCACTTAGACATACCCTTAGACACATAGACATACCGTTCGGCAAATAGTACAGAAGACCGAAGATTACAGCTTGCAATTTTGTCTTGCGTATGTATGTGGACTATGAGAAAGCCTTTGATTCATATTAACTTGCCTAAGGGATCTTCCCGAATGTCGTCGCCAGCTCTCCGACTACTAGTTTAAATATAAAGAAGTTAATTTAATTACACTATTGGTATCAAAACCGAATAAAAAGTTTTGATACCAATAGTGTAAAAAATAATAAAGAAATTAACATACAAACAAGGAGTTTAATATAACTAATTTTGATAAACAAAGAAAATATAGCAGCATCGTTTCCCATGCTATAAGCGCGGCAAACGCATTTGCCATAGAGTGTTGCCTACGAAGAAGAGAAAAAAATTGGGATGCAACATATGGAATAACAATAGGAACAACACCGAAACTGAAAATTGTATACGTGACAGTGGTGCTTCAGCATATATAAACGATAATAATTTCGAGATCCATATTCTTATAATATGTCTTTCTTTAGCTTCCGTTTACGCACTAATGTTGGCACATACCGATGAGGAAAAGGAGTAAATATATTAGTATATATCTAGAGCCATGCGTTCCTCTAAAGCCCACTATAAAAGGTTAATGGGAGAGTCTAACGCAAAACTAGGCACAAGAGAGAACGGTCAGCTGAAAGGAACTTAGAAAACCTCGAAAACTTTCAGCTCAACTTACTAAACCATTTTTACTGCCTAGAAGATTGCAAAAAATTGTAATTGTAATTTAAATTCGTCTCTTGCTATATTATAAAATATAATTGTTTCAACTACAGTACTGTTGTGACAAATGATTTTGCGGTTCACTTGATGGTGTGTGTGTTTTTTTTATAGGAGAGAGGAGGTAAACGAACATGCGGCTCAGCTGATGTTAAGTGACTACCGCCGCTCATGAACAACTGCAATACCAGGGGAATTGCAGATGCGTTGCCGATCTTTTAAAAAAGGAGTAGGCTCTTTTCTTGAAGGTCCTAAGTTATATCAGTCCAGGCAAAAATCGCTAGTGGTAGTCGTTTCCAGCAGAAAGTTATGCGAGGAAGAAAACTTCTCCTAAATTGCACAGTGGTGGACCGCCAATCATAAAGATGGTACGGATGGTATCGCGAGTTCTGTCGCTATGTGCGATAGTAAAATTTAGCGGCTGGAATCAGTCTGAACAATTCTTTAGAGCACTCCCCGTGATAGATGCGATAAAATACGCAAATAGATGCAACATGTCGTCGCAATGCCGGTGAGTCAAGCCGATTGGAAGAAACTTGGTCGTTGTCGATTCGAACCGCACTGCGCTGGATGTGGTCAAGTGGAAGGAGCTGTCACAGGGGATTCCCTGCACAGAGATGGGAACAGTATTCCATTTGGAAGGAACCTGCGCCTTGTAAAGTTGCGTATATCGATGTGACAGCATGCGAACACTTGGGTACTCAAAAAGAAGTACAACTCTGCCTCTCGGTCCTTAAAAAGTGTTATCGCTAGGGCAAAGTCAGATCATTTTGAGTTAATAGGCGAGAAACTAATTCGCCTTCCTTCGGGAACTCGTACATTCTGATCTTTCACCAAGGCTGCTCAATCGAATTTCTGCTTTTTTTTATTATGTACGGGCAGCTATGCAGGTCTAGAGAGACCAGTGTCACTGCGACCTATAAGATCTATTGTGATTGCTGTTATGTCTACAGTTCACTGCTAAGGCTTACGTCCTCAATGAATAGAAGGAGTTACTTAGCTATGAGTAATTTCACTTCCTCTGGGCGAAGTACATAGTTTCCCAGATGAGTGTTGCGTTTGCGCATTAAGGGTCCGCAATTTGTCAGGATGTGTAAAGGCGTTTCTTCCTCTAGGAAGCAAAACCGGCACATCCTTCAGTTGCTTAGTCCCTGGATGGACATGTGCTTTTTAAGACAACAGTGTCCAGTCAGGCCTCTTACCAGAATGGGCTATTTATTTTTACCCTAATCCCAGGGCTTTCGGAGCGAATTTACGGCTGACATCCCGGATTAAGGTTTTAGAATGTTTTAAGCCTGGTATATCAGACCAGATGTTAAGTAATTTAATGTGGTAAAGATTTTTCAGGGTCGATCGGGAGAGACTTTTTGAGATTCTACAAAATGGCTCGTCGAGCTTGTCGGCATTTTCATTACCTACGGGGAGCCTTCTGAAGGCGTAACATTGTTCATTGTATTAAAGCTTTTAAAAAGTTACTTCGCAAAAATTCACTCTATAAAATAAAATGATGTGTCTGACCTAGTATGAGGAGCACCTCTGCCCCCCCCCTAAATTGCTTGCACTATCCCCGTCACCACTAATCCCATCACCACTACTCCCAACACCACTACACTAGGAAAGACACACCACTGACGACAATACATGTGTTTCCCCCACATTTTTAAATATGAGAGAGCAAAGCCCTTTTGTCAGGCACTTTTGTATAAATGTTGTAAAATTTTCCAAGCAAGAAAGTATTAGTTAATAAGGAATTGATAGAGGTTTTCGAGTGGCAGCCTCGTAGCGGTACGCGAAGTGTTGGGCGACCCTCCACTATATGGAGTGACGACCTGATAAGACATGCAGGAAGTCGATGGATGCAGGTGGCTTAGGACCGTGCTTTGTGGCATTCTTTGGGGGAGGCCTATGTTCAGCAGTGGACTTGTGAACGGCTGTAATGATGATGAGTTCCACCATCAAACTGATAGATAAATGACCATAGTGCATTTTACGCGGAATGTTTTGCCATGCGCGACCATTCTATGAAATTTTCTAACGCCAGCGGCTTTTCCGAGCTGATACGAATTAAAGACTGTCAAGAAAAAAGTCTACACCTTTTTAAAAGACCCAAAGTTCCCCTGGTATTGCACGTATTCATGAGTGAGTATTTGCCATCACACTTGACACTTGACGGTGATCACTTACTATCACACTTGACTTGAGGAGACAAAAAAGCAAATGGATTACTAGCCATATGCTTTTATGTCTCCTCTTTCATAAAAAAAAAACTTTATTACTCTACTATCTTTGATTAAGAATCAAAATATATATGCGTTGTTACCCCAGGTATTAAGCCTTGTAAAAAAAAAGAGTCTCATTTTCTCTACGCTCATCATAAGTAACACTGCACTATTCCGTTGTTTTACGCTGACATCCTGTAATATCGTGGCCCTAACCCGGTCAAGCCGACTAGTCATGCAGCAGACATAATTTAGCTGCAGCGTAGTTTTATCACGTAAATATTTATGACAATGTCAACATAGAGAATATGATATTAACATCAATAACGAATACCTTCGATTTGCTATATTCCTTATGGCAAAATCTCTGGAGGAACTCAGAACTATGTACGATGACCTCAATAGTATCTGTCAATCATATTAACATAGACAAAACAAAAGTCATGTGTAACGTCCATGTCACAACTATGTGAAGGTGTCTACTAGTATGTTTACCCAGGGCAAATAGACCGCGAGGCCAGTCGATGGATTAAATTCAGCTAGGCAACTTTCGTTAGATTACGACACATCTTCTCGTCACGTTTTCCTCAAAACTTGAAAATAAGATTGTAATAAATAGTGGGTGTTGTCAGTAATGACATATGGATCTAAGACACGGTCCTTCCCTGCTGGCCGTATGAGCATATGCCGGCGCTTTGTATCACTCCCTGGGGGAGACCTATTTTCTGCAATTGACTTGTAGCTATAATGCTAACCTATTTATTATTATAATTATTACATTGTAGAACTTACGAGGAAAAAAAATACTCCAAATTTGGAAACAGTGTAATTTAACTGTCTTTTTAATAATTCAAAAATCTGTGTTGGAATTAAAATTAAATTAATTAAAATTAAATCCCATCCTTTAGTGTTCAACGTATCTGTAACAAAAAGCAAATAAAAATGTTCTATTGATTATTTAAAGTGTCTGTATTGTAATTACAGGCTGTAAGGCATCCATCTAAATTACTGTCTTTAATGGTTTCTTTTTTAACCGACTGTCGCAATAGGAGGGTTATGGTTTTCGACAGTATGTATGTATATATTTCTATATCTTTGGGAAGCTCTGTAGCCGAAACGGCTTTATGAATTGTGTATTAAATGTGGGAGTGACATAGGCTATGTTATATTTATAAATTACATCTACAAATACAAAAAAGGAGGGGAAGGTTTTTTTTTCTAAGCTTTTAAACGCAGTCAAGTTATTTTAAATTACTGTATTAACCATTAAGCTTGTTAGTTTCACCTGATGGGAAGCGGTTAATTACAGATCATCATTCTTAACTGACTGCAAACAAATAAAAGCATAGTCTTTGACACTCTTTAGTAATAAGATAAATGCCACGTATACTGGATTATAGCGGCAATTAAATTACAAACGTGGACACAGCAATGATTGTACTACTGCTGGCTAGCCATGATCCCATGATACACTGAACCAGTGCAGCGGCGTGGTAGGCTGCTCTGAAAATGGTGGAACAAACAAACTTACGACAACTGGTTCATAATAGTTCATGATGCATTCGTGTGCCCGTCAAAGTGGGGAGGGTTTTGCCTCCTCAGGCCTAAAGCTAGGAAGAAATAACGTGTGTCAACAATCATATAATACATTTGGTGTGGTATAATTTAACTTTTTTTTTATAGGATTTGGGTGACAAACCAGCACACAGTCCACCTGATGGTAAGTGGTTGCTGTGGCCCATAGACATCTGCATCTATCTTCGTTTGCGAATTAAAATGCAGATGAGTTGTCAACCTTGAGGACTAAGATGGAATGCCTCTTTTCCAGTAAAATAGGTCTGCGGTTCTCTACACTCACCATACGAAACACGCCGGTATTCTGTGAGAGCGTGGTCCTTCCCCGGTCGAGCCGACCCATTCGTGCTACAACTATACTATTAATATAGCCGCAGCATGGCTCTACCACGTAAAGTATAACATATAACATATAGTATAACTGCATGTTTATATCTATTTTATAATTTTGAAGTGACAAAGAGGATTTATTTATCCGTCAAACCGGAACACAATAGCACACACATTGCTGCTTCGCGTGAACGAACGTGGTACCTAACGCACTCTTGAACAGGAAAGGATTCCTAAACCTATTTAGTTATATGTATAATTTTTTATTACCTTTGTTACTTGTTACTTCTTCATGGTCGTTGAATGTATCTATTTGAACGTCTGCACACAATCTATACAAAAATAAACTCAAAGATTATGAACGACATATAGTAAATTGATTTAAAATATGTATATAAGCCAGTGAACACACAAAATATATAATGTAAATATATGAACATATTATGGTGGAGAAACATGCCAAAGAATAATGATCGACATCATTGTACTTAATTAATTAGTAATGAAATTGGCATACCAAAATAATTTACATTAACTTAGATCAATCAGATCTTAGATTAAAAAATGTCAGCACCGCTCACAAATATACTTATATATTAAACTTCCTAATGGCATATCATGCCTTTTTGAAAGGAAATTCATTAATTAATTAAGTAATATATTTAAAATGAAATGATTCAAACCCAAAAAATGAGAAATATCTGAAGAATTCGAGAAAAATACAGATAATTAATTTAAATGTATTCTGTCGTGGTAAACAATTGATGTCTATCAATTATTTTTATCGACTTTCAACATGGCGTCTCATCGATTTATTTACTATGTGCTTATAGACAAAGACAGTAAACCATAAAGCGACCAATGGTCGTAGAAAATAAAACTGTCAGTTGTCACAACAGTATCACCTTTCAGTGACTGAAGTGTCACTTTCGTCTCGTCTTATAGAAATAAACATGTCAAACTTCACTAATCAATAAAAATGACAGCTTACCGCTATGACGGGTTTTTGTGGTGTGTTGCAATTTCAAGTGTAATTCCTTGTGCTTTACCAGCAAACAAACCATTATATAACATAATTGGACAGTTGAAAACTATCAAACTATACGTTTCCCTGCTTTTGAGAATAGTGTAGAAGAACCTGGCCCAGGCTCCATACTTTTTCGAACATCTCATTTAAAATTATAACTAAGATTATTAAAGTTATGTATTAGATTTTAGTTATTTTTTTTATAAGATAAGGGTGACAAACGAGCACACAGTCCATCTGATGGTAAGTGGTTGCTGTAGTCCATAGACATCTACATCTATCCTCTATTACAAATCAAAATGCAGATGCGTTGTCACCCGTGAGGACTAAGATGAAATGCCTCATTTCCAATAAAAAGGGTCTCCGGTTCTCTACACTCACCATACGGAACACAGCAGCGTTAAGCTGCTATTTCAAGCTGGTATTCTGTGAGAGCGTAGTCCTTCCCAGGTCGAGCCGACCCATTCGTGCTACAACTATACTACTAATATAGCTGCAGCATGACTCTACCAGCTCTAGTTATGTGAAATTAATATTTAGATGACAAAGGAGCAGGGAAGTATTCGGTTGAATTGCGATTGCTAATATGATGAACTTAGGTTAGGTTTGTGCCCAGCAGTGGGACGTAAATAGGCTGCAACTTTACTTTTAACTTTACTTTACTTTACATTATTTTACAGGAGAAAGTTTTTTTTTAAATTTAATTTCATTAAAATGTGCAATCCTTAATACTTCCCCCGATTGATTACGATGATGTGTGTTATTTTGACCTGAATGCAGACCTACTTGACAAATATAATCGTCTTATTAATAACTGCATTCGATTCATTTTTAATTTTTTTTAACTTAACGTTCCCAAATTAAGTGGCTTCCCATTCGTCTGCGACGAAGTATACGCGCACTCACAACCCTATACTCCATTCTGATGTCTCCTGCTCCCCTCTCTTACTTAACTTGTCATTTTCAGTACCCTTGCTCTAGCCACGACATAAACCTGCATTCTTTGAACAACCTTTTATTATTACTGTCTCTCTCATAAATCTGGCTCTCTGCATTCTTCCTTCACTGTACAGTCTGTTTTCCTCTGAAACGCACTCTGTCTTTAAATTAGAACGGCTAATAATCGTTATGCATTCAGAAGAAAGTTCACGAACATTACTTAAGTAAACTGGCAGAATAATCTCATTAGTAGTACCTATTTATTTATGTACTTATATAAATATATAATTATATAATGTATGTTATTATTCTTGTGTACATAATTAACATATAATATTATGCATATAGTAAATTTTTATACTTTCCATTTTTATCCATACATAAACTTACATATAAAACTTTTATATGTAAGTTTATGTATGGATGTATGTATTGTTACGAGCTTAAGGTTCGAGACAATTAAAAGCTGCCGAATGAATTACCAAAATTGACACTTTAATTACAGAACACTAATTATAATCTAAAACCACACTAATAATAAAACACAGTTGTACTTTAGTTCACTTTAGTTCGCCGTCATTTTGATTCGAAGTATTCTCTTGTATCGCCAATTCAATACTGCCCCGGTCGTGGTCTATGCCGGCCTTATATAGGACCTCAGATAGTTTTCAGAACCTTCTACTGTAGCGACATCTAGAATGTTCGAGTACATATCGGTTCCAAAATTTGTAGAAGGATCTTGACTCTCTAGTTCTGCTACTCGACACTAGAGGGCGCTAGTGGTGACTAGTGTTGCCATATACAAGACATTTAATAGTGGCGCGCAACACTGCCCCCTCCTAAGACATGCTCGTCCCGAGCATTATTGGCCCCATAATAACGCGCCAGTCGATCCACATGGACAATCTTAGGAGTACCTCTTCAATACATCAGTCAGCACCCGCCAGTTTCCCTGCTGCTGCTGGGCGGTGCTGTTAGTCACACAACCCTTTCTACAGTTCGTATAGGGCAGCTGGATCGAAGATGGCCCCTTTTCCCACAGCCGTAGCACCTAGGGCTGTATCTTTTATTGCGGTCGCAAACTGTAGCCGATGCAACCTACCTGACGCGATGGGAATGATGATCATGCCGCACGGCTTCCACCTTCAGTGTATGGGCCAACGCGTCCTTAAGTGTCTCATGGTACCCGAGATTCACAGCAGCTCTGACTTCAAGGTCGTGGATGCCGTCGATGAATGTCTGCACCAGGTTCCCCACAATGACCGCAGGTACAGACTGGTATGCTTTTCGAACCAGCTTCTCCACCTCAAGGGCCCACTGCTGCAAGTTTTCATTGTTGCGTTGCACGCGATCTTTGAGCTGCGCACGAAAGATGTGTTCCAGGTGAGCGTCGCCATATCTCGTCTCCAATGCCTCAAGGAGCTGCTCATAAGTCACTTCCTTACCGAGAGCTTCCAGAACAGTTAAGGCCTGGTCGCATAGGCCTAGGGTGAGAGCAGTCATGACCTGACTTTTATTCCAGCCGTTCGCCTTCCTAACAGCCTCGAACTGGATTTTGTAGGCCGACCACGAAGAAGTCCCGTCGAATGGCGGCACTTTGAATAATCCACCTAGCGAAGGTGTTGTAGCTATCATGGGAGCTGTAATTCCATCTTCATGTTTGAGGTCGTTCAGCGTTTTCTTCACGTCAGCCATCACGTTGTCAACTCGATTGTACACTTGGTCGATTCGGGTTTCAGCTTCCGACAGGTGGTTGTCATATTGAGCAACCCTATCCTTCACCTCCTTTATCTCTTTCCCGAAGGTAGCGTAAAGGTCCTTCATGAGGAGCATCTGCTCCTCCTTATAGCGTTTGAGCTGCTCTTCCAACCGACGGCCCTGTTCCTCCTGTTGGCGGGTCTGTTTCTCCTGCCGGCGGGCCTGTTCCTCCTGTAGGCGAGCCTGTTCCTGCAGTATCATCATCAGAGCCCCTAAGTCAGGTGCTTCAGATGCAGGAGCTGCTGACGGGCCAGCCTCCGTGGTCAGCAGCTGGCCCTCTGACATTTGCAGCGTTGCAATACTAAATCATCTCTGGTCCGTCTCCAGCTGGTGTTGACTTCAGGTACGGATACCCTCCATGTCGTCCTTTGGTAAAATAAGCATGATTTGATCCCACTTCTGACACCAATTGTTACGAGCTTGGGGTTCGAGACAATTAAAAGCTGCCGATTGAATTACCAAAATTGACATTTTAATTACAGAACACTAATTACAATCTAAAACCACACTAATAATAAAACACAATTCTACTACTGATCACTTTAGTTCGCAGTTATTTCGCTTCGAAGTATTCTCCCGTATCGCCAATTCAATACTGACTCGGTCGTGGTCTACACCGGCCTTATATAGGGCCTCAGATAGTTTCCAGAACTTTCTACTGTAGCGACATCTAGAGTGTTCGAGTATATCGATCCCGAAATTTCTAGAAGGATCTTGACTCTCCCAGTTCTGCTACTCGGCACTAGAGGGCGCTGATGGTAACTAGTGTTGTCATGAATAAGACAATTAATAGTGGCGCGCAACAGTATTATTTTGTTTTATATTTATATAATTTAATTTATACTCTTGTCTTGTAGCGTTTCACACACCAAATTCATATTTTCATCTCTGCATTACCCAAAGGTTGACTTGTAGAGAATACTTGAGACATTAAGTCATACATCATATTGTATGAACTTTTAAATAAACAAGTAAATAAACAAAATTAAGTTAATGGTTTTAGAAAAGCCATTTAACAAGTAAGTATACTGGGTGGCGCCCAGGTTATCACGTTAAATAGCACAACAGTTAATACAAGTTGATATATGTCTGTTAAAATAATAAAATAAACAATAATAAAAACTAATAAAAAATGCATCTTTCAAACAAAATAAATAGGGTAAAAAATCACATAAAATAAATCATCCTTGATAATATTACTTAACTGACCTGAAATGACTTGTAGAAGCGGCAACGTCGCGGCCAGCGGTTCATTGCTCATGCGACATCGATATAGGTAATTATATTATAATACCTAGGTCCTAGGACTTGCCCATACATAGGTAATTAGGCACGCGTAGGGCGATGCTAATCCGATGTTATCAACAAATCACAAATTTCATGGTATTTTTTTATCCAAATAATCACTTTAACCTTGAAATCACTCAAGTTTATGAAACAAATCAAATTTTTAAATTTTCAAAATGTCCGCCGTGTACCCGAATGCATAATTGACATCGTCGCATGATATTATTTCGCACTTTTCGAAAGAGGGCACCATTGGCTGCAAATTTTTTTATTTTGTCGAAAGCCCGCATTATTCTTATTTTTAAGTCCTCGACAGTCGTTACTTCAGTAGAGTACACCTCATTTTTTATGTAACCCCATAAAAAGAAATCTAACGGTGTTAGATCCGGAGACCGTGCTGGCCACCGAGAAGGTCCGTATCTGCCAATCCAGTTCTCTCCGAACATCTCAGTGAGGCGCTGCCTGGCAGCCACCACTGAATGAGCAGGTGCTCCATCAAGCTGGTACCATAACCGGCTATTGGCCCCCAACGATAGTCCATCAACGTAATCCGCCACTGTGTCGTCAAGCAGTTCCAAAAATTTAGGCCCATTAAGGTTGCCTTCGATAAACACGGGACCAATTATTTGATCTCCGTGTATTCCAGCCCAAACATTAACGGCAAATCTATATTGGTGCATAGACTCTCGACACAGTTGCGGATTTTCTTGACTCCAGTATCGTAAGTTCTGCCGATTCCATATTCCGTTACGCGTGAATGTGCTCTCGTCAGTCCACATTACGTTTGCTAAAAAGTTAGAGTCATTAGCTACTTTGCTCAGGAGCCATTCACAGTAGGCTTCCCTAACTGGCTTATCTCTATCTAATAAAGCCTGTACCTTTACGTATTTGAACGGCCGTTGCTTGTTTTTTTTTAATATTCTGTGAACAGACTTGTGGTGTACACAGAATTGGCGAGCTGCTCTACGGAGACTTGATGTTGGATTACGAGCGAAATAATTTAATATTCGTTCTTCCTGAGCCACGGCGACTTGCGGAGGAATTTCAACCTGACGTGGAATCAAATTTTCGCCGTCACGTAATCTTTGGACTGCCCGTATAAAAATCCGTGAGTCTGTAGGACATACACGTGTGGTATTATACCTCTCTCGGTATGTTCGTAATGCCAGGGACGCGTTTTGGTGGCATTCTCCATAAATTAAAACCATATCGGTGTATTCCAATGACGTAAAATTGATACGAGGCATTTTAAAATAAAAAAAGTTATACGTTTAAAAAAATAAAAGCGTCCAATTGCGCACGGGCTGACACACCACTAAGTTATTAAATATCACTTATCTATTATTAACGAGTCCTATCACAAATAAAAAATACAAGACAGTAAAAGAAAGCGTCAAATTTCGCACAAATAGTCACACCACCTCCTCAACACAATTATTATTATAGTATTAACGTGTCCTATCACAAACAAATCAAGAAACTTATGAAAATATCCACAAAAAAAAACTTTAAATTAAAAGGACGTGTACGCGAAAAACTAAAATTAGGTCAAGCGATTAATGAACCGTTCCCAAGGACGCCGGCGTCGGACTAAGTGACTTACTGTCTTACTTTATCGTCGCACGCGCCAATCGACCACATCCCACCCTCCCAACACCCCGTCCCAATTCTTGTCGCATCGCGCATAAGAATTATGCCTTATTTTGTTACATATAAGTACATTTTTTGCTTAATTTATTACTTTATTTGATTATTTAAAATTGGCAACGTTGCACTATAATACAATATAGGTCTCTTGGCCTTCACGGGCCATGGGTCTTTGAACTTCTAGTATTTATCAGGTGATATCTGATGCATTTACATGATGTTGTTTAATATTAAAACAAAAAAAAGGCTACCGCGCCCAGAATGTTAATTGTTATATATTTTTTTAGTTGTGTATGTTTAAAGAACTTTGTATAGAATACGTCTTTTCATTTAACATGATAACTTCATCGTCACTTTGTATATTATATATATTACTTACATAAATGTTATTTATGTGTGTAAGTAATTGTAATGTGACGGCAATGTCGTCGCGCCACAAGCGAAACGCACCGAAGCCTAAATTGCGCTATCAAAGTTCCGAATACTGTGGTATACACAGAATAGCTACAAGGTGTTACAAAAAGCGTTGTCCGCTCTCCGGACTTGCTCGTTGGAAGATCTCCCTTTTCCCTCCAGACCAAATTGGTGACCCTGACGATATGTGAACATGCAATCAACAATCTTCGCAAACTACAACTTCAAGCCTTCGTCATTATTCTCAAGAACCCCTACCATTCACTCCTGCAAGCCAACTTGTCTTTATCTCGACTCACAGCAGATTTATAATGCAGACGTCTGGCATTCCATTCATCTTAGTTCTCACAACGCATCTGCATTTTTGATTGAGGAGGTTTTCTTTATTGAGGAACATCTATCCATCTATACGTCTATAGGTCACAGCAATCACTTACCATCAGGTGGACTGTGTGCTCATTTGTCACCCTATCCTATAAAAAACCTATTTTGTGTTAATTTTTACTAACAGTCACATAAGTAAATGCTAAAGAATGTTTAAAAATATCTGGTCAGAGAATATTAGGCCTGGAAGTTTTGAGTAACAGGGTCTGTTTGTAATTAACCACTACATTATCGGTCGTTACTCCTGTTTTTCGTTTTAAGGTTTTAGTCCAACGAGAAACTAATAACAGAATAACTATAAATTAAATGATCTAATGAAACGCATGAAAGATACTTTTCAGAAAGAAGAAGTTTAGTTATTATTTCAAGAAAATAAAATGGCCCTGTTTCATATCATTTCAGTCTTCTTTTCAAACTTTATTCTTTCATAAGTTAAAATGTGAAATGTTAAGTTTATATTACAAAAAGAAAAAGCATGAAGCTGTAGCTTTTGGTAAACTTTATATTCTTTGAGATCAAATGTAATCTCTGCTGTCGTTTTATCAAAATCTACAGTGTCCAGCGGAGGATGGAACGTGCGACGACATCGCACAATATCTTTTGAGGCAACAACTGCCCTGACTCACTTTCAACCTCTAGATGCCTCTAAAAAATCCCCCAGCAAAAGGAATAGGCCAACCGAAGGATTTCAACCTACTAGGTAACTATAATATTAGAAACGATTAAACATGTACAATAAATCAGGAAGTTACATACCCCGAAATGGTTCGATTTTTGTGGTGCAAGGGGGGGGGGGGGGCGGACGGGGGAGTGGTTTACTCTCCATGGCTTGATTTCTCACGGTAAACTAAGAGAAACCCACATGGCTCGGTAAAATAAAAAAGGATCTGATGCTCATCGCAGTTCATCATCATCTAGCATTCCTAGGAAGGTAAATAGGTACTACTACCTTACGTAACTACAGCGTTTTAGCTTTTATTAACGTGTCACAGGTTCTTTCTGGGTAGGAAATCTAAAGTAAAAGAAAATTAAATTACTGATCCCACCGCGGTGATCGAGGTCGCAACTCTTGCATCTCAGCTGGGCATTCGCCCACTACGTCGTCGATGTTTCGTCAATCATTAGTGAACCGTTTCGGATCTATGAAGCCCTCGTACATTTAAATAAACAAATAGGTAGGTACACGTGCTATACCAGTATCACAAACAGCCTGTATACTTCTTAATTTAGATTTTATTGTACTAGTACTTTTTTTTTTTTTAGTACTAAAAACATAGTTTACATGTAATTACTTGTTATAAGCTCGGAATAGCAGCTATCGACAATGACTTGGAGAAAAATAAATAAAATATAAAAACGATTTAAGTACAACGTTTACGATGATGTCGAACCAACTACTTGTATCTTGATGCTGATAATAGTTAAATTTCTGTTATTGTTATATTCGATGGATACAAAGTAATTAGTCAACTAGAGCAGAAATAAGATTTTCCTTACATTTTCCACGTTCGGCTATTATAATATGCAGACTACGAGGTGGTTTGATATACTTTTTTATACCTTTACTACGTTATACGTTTGTTAGACTATTTATATGTCCAGAAGCTATTACTTAGATGACTAAAAACACACACACACACACACACACACACACACAACACAAGATTAAATTAAGCTATTGCGTACTAAATTTGCTTTGAATAAATTACAATTGAAACTAATAATTAAAAGAAATATTCAAAGCATACTCCATAAAGACTTCTTCGAGTGATGTGCCACTGAATCCCATAGATTCTATGTCCAAAGACGATCTGTTATACTCGAGGCTGTTAAAAAGTCCCGCCATGTCTGCATCGGGCGGTATATAATAAACTAATGTTCGTAAGGTATTGTCTTTCAAAATGGCGGCGGGTGCTAGTATTCGAATCGTTGCCGTTATCTTACTCACATCCGGCCAGTGAACTGTTGTGATGGACACTCGGTAACCAGAGCCTGATAAAAATAATAAAATACTGAAGTTAATAATGGTTGTATATTTTATGTAGAAATGTAAGTGGTAATTCACGATTAACATGCATTCGCCATCTCAATATGAAACTAATATGCGACGAAAGAATCGAATCTTATCAACTATTAATAAAATGAAGCAAACATTTAAAAAAGGCTTATAATCAGCATACATACTGTCTGTTTCTTTTTTGTAACATGCCTGTGTCTAACTATAATTCAGTATACAATTCAATATACTCCTCATATTTTTTTTCTTAATAAGAACAGGTTTACGCATATTCTACTCTCCTTTCCAGCAAATAGTCTGGCGAATGGCTTTGCGAGAGAGCCTAGGTCATGATGATCCAAAAGGCAACTTAGAGTAACTTTTAATTCATGTGGTGCCAAGACAGGACACACAGACGATCCTTTTTTCTCCTTTCATCCCTTTTTTCCCATCTTACTCCAATCCAAGGCATCAGGTAAAATGTGCCGATTGATGCTTGACTGAAAGGAAGTCCTGTTGCAAATGGTGCCCAACCGAGATAAGGGCAATACGTGTAGTACTATGCCCTTTCCCGACATGCGAGGGTGACCGTTATTAACAACCTGTTTCCATTTTTGAGTTTACACAAATTTATAATTCCAGAACATGGTTTCGTGAAATACCGATCAATCATAAGTAATCTCAATTTTGTTTAATACAAACTTCCTGTTTAATAATATGTACAATCAAATACAAACTGATACTGTTCACACAGACTTTCCTAAGGCTTTTGATAAGATGGGTCATTCAAAAATTTGTGTTTAATGCCATACGCGCCAACTTATTTCGATGGTTCTCCTCGTATATTATTAATAGAACCATAAAAGTTGTGGTTAATAAATTTTCCTATAGCGACAATATAGTATCTTTAGGTGTACCACAGGGATCTATAATGGGCTTTTCACATTATATAAAAATAATATTCAGTATTTTTTTAAAATAGTAATCTTTTACAGATGACCTAAACGTTTATCGTAGTGTAAAGTTCCTTAATAACTGTGAGAAGCTACAGAAACATGTTGACTAGTTATTTAACTTTATTCTACTAAATAAATTGCAATTAAGCATCCCCAAATGTAATAATCCCTATTTTTGTCAAAAACCTACAATTAAATACATTTCTTTCTTAACAGTACTTTAGAAAAATTATCTTTGATAAAATATGAAGGCAAAATTTACGATATAAATCTGAACTTAAGAACTTTTTTTTTAAATAAAGGTGATAAACGAGCACACAGTCCACCTAATGGTAAGTGGTTGCTGTGGTCCATAGATATCTAAATCTACCATCGTTAGCGAATTAAAATGCAGATGCGTTGTCAGTCTGCAAGCAGCCTTAAGCTGCTATATTATGCTGGTATTTTGTGAGAGCGTGGTCCTTCCCCGGTCGAGCCGACCCATTCGTGCTACAATATTACTATTAATATAACAGCAGAATGGCTCTACTACGTAAAAAAAAAAAACTTATATCAGCCATATAAAAAATAAAGCGTATCAAGTGTGAAGTCAAGTCAATATAACAAAGAAAGCTCCCGTATTTTAATGTAGCCGATGCAACGTAAATAAGTATGCGGATGCAACGTGTCAAAATCATCCAATAAACAACTAAATACCATACGTAACGCTGCCGGTATAGAATGTAGTTGTGAAGATTGCCTACAAAATTCTGAAGGATTCTGATGGAGGAGACGACGATGTCGATTCTGACACCGGTTCTAATTGTGGTCAACATACCTTTGATACCAATAAACCGGTACAAAATATTAGACGTTAAAAAAAGTTTTCGTGGAGATAAGCAACCAAGAAACTTCCCTTGAATTCCATGATCCATGATCAAATGAATACCAGCGTAGGTTATCAGTTTAGATGGTAGAATACTGCTATCTAAAGCTAGCAGTTTATAATTAAAAGCAAATTTTTTATGAATCTCTTTTAGCGTGAAATTAAATTTTGCAGCACTAAATTAGCATAAAATGAGCACTTAATATTTAGCAAATATTTTAGTGATTTTGCCCAAGTGACTATTCCAGCGTGACGTTAAGTAGCGTGAAATGGAGTAAAACTGACGAATTGAGTAATCCTTATCAGCTTTTTGACTTTATTTCTAGTTCATTTAATAATGCTTCAATTGTCTCTAGTTTCAATAACACACATAAAAAATACCAAAACTATTTCGTGTACATTGGGTGGATGAAAACATTATTCAGCTCTGCGACTAACGTCATAAATTATTCAGTATATGGAAGAAGGCTCCATATGATCCGCAATTGCGACTCGATTATACTAAGGTTCGAAATAAAGTATACAAGATTCTATGTAACCGAAAAAACTCATATTATTTCAAATTTATCTGCTTCAAAACCTTCAAGAAGTTGTATCAATATAGCTAATAAATTGCTAGGACGAGAATCGCTATCTATAGACCAAACAAAATTTAAGGTCCTAAAAGCACAAGGGCTGACAGATGAGACTATTGCTAGTTATTAGCAAATATGTGATTAAATTTGATAAAGCTGCCCAAAAATAATACCCACATGTTATATTCAACTGCTAAACAACAGTTCATGTCAAGAACCCGTGAATACGTAATAATATATTATTTCGTAAAGAAGATAATGAAACAATCCGTAATCTTAACTCTAACTAAACGCCATGGTTAGATGAAATCTTTGTTGCTATTTTGCAAATCTTATAGATATTAGTATTAGCCAAAGTGTTTATCGTGTGTAGTAAAAGACGACAAAGGGAAACAGGCAGGAGATGGCAGCAGCATCTTCCTGGTAACGGCAAAAATACAACAAAAAAAATGCGGTTGCCAACCCGCTCACCAAGCGTGGCAGCTATGGTTCCTAACTCCTAAGTCTTTGCTAGAAATCTGTCTGCCAGAAAGAGCCAACTGTCAAAGCTGAAGACCGAGTGTGGCAGCATCGTTTCCGGGGCACCTGAGATTTTGAGTGAGATTGAGAGGTTCTATGGGCAGCTGTACACGTCATCGTTGGAGCCACACGCAAGTGTGAGTAGCAATCCAAGAGCGAGTCTTATCCGACACTATTCCGAAGATATGCCGGACGTCAGTCTGAGCGAGATTAGAATGGCTCTCCAGCATTTTAAAAACGACAAGGCCCCAGGCGAGGATGGAATTACAGCGGAGCTTCTGAAAGCGGATAGAAAACCGGTACTGGAAGTCCTTCAGAGGCTCTTTGATTCCGTCCTCCATGGTGGCATTACACCGGGGGCGTGGAGCAGATGTGCGGTGGTCTTATTCTTCAAGAAAGGTGACAATGCTCTCTTGAAGAACTACAGACCGATTTCCCTTCTGTGCAGCTTCTATATGCTGTTTTCGAGAGTCATTACAAATCGTATCGCGCACAGACATGACGACTTCCAGCCTCCCGAACAAGCTTCCAGTTTCCGAAAGGGCTTTAGCACCATAGACCACATACAATCCTTCGGCAAATTGTACAGCAGTCCAAGGAGTATAATTTGCCACTATGTCTGGCGTATGTGGACAATGAGAAAGCCTTTGATTCCGTCGAAATTTGGGCGGTGCTGCAGTCCCTTCAGCGGTGTCAAGTTGACTGTCGGTATATCGAAGTGTTGAAGTGCTTGTACAGTAGGACTACGATGGCTATCCGAGTACAGAATCAGAGTACGAAACCTATCCAATTGCAGAGAGGTGTAAGACAGGGTGATGTTATATCCCCGAAACTCTTCACCGCTGCATTGGAAGACGTTTTCAAGCTTCTGGACTGGAAAGGATACGGTATCAATGGCTAGTACATCACTCACCGTCGATTTGCCGACGATATAGTCCTTATAGCAGAATCGCTGGAGGACCTAAGCACTATGCTCAATGACCTCAATAGTTTCTCCCAACGCATAGGTCTTAAGATGTACATGGACAAAACAAAGATCATGTTTAATGTCTATGTCACACCTATGCCGGTAGTTGTTGGGAGCACTAAGCTCGAAGTTGTTGACGAGTATGTTTACCTGGGACAAATAGTCCGACTAGGTAAGTCCAACTTCGACCGAGAGATCAATCGACGGATTTAACTCGGCTGAGCAGCGTTCGGGAAACTACGACACATCTTATTGTCAGACATACCCCAAAACCTTAAAACGAAATTGTACAACCAGTGCGTGTTGCCAGTGATGACTTACGGATCTGAGACGTGGTCCTTCACTGCTGGCCGTATGAGGAAGCTCAAGGTCGCTCAGTGAGCTATGGAGAGGGCTATGCTCGGGGTTTCTCTGCGTGTTAAACTTAGAAATGAGGATATCCGCAGTAGAACCAGAGTAACCGGCATAGCCCAACGGATTGGTAAGCTAAAGTCGCAGTAGGCCGGCCATGTAGCTCGAGGAACCGACAACCGATGGGGAAGAAAGGCAGCCTCGTACCGGTAGGCGAAGTGTAGGCCGACCCCCCAGGAGAAGACATGATGGAAGTTGATGGATGCAGTTGGCTCAGGACCGTGCTTTGTGGCATTCCTTGGGGGAGGCCTATGTTCAGCAGTGGACTTATGAAAGGCTGTAATAATGAATGATGAAAGCTTTTATCCGAAAAACTTAAATAAAAATTATATTAAACCCACTTTTAACACTACAATGCAAGCGTAGGCTGTATATCCTTTTCGCTCCTGCCTGCCGTCAAATATTAACGTTCAATTACTCCGAGATTGTCGATTTCTATTTGATAAATTAATAATCTCCGAAATAAAATGTCGCAAAAATAAGAGAACATATTTGTGGATGGGCTGGCAAGATAAATTACGTCATGTCTGCGAGCCTAGTACACCAACACGGTGCTTGAGCTACATCTATAAAATATATATAAGACCAATCATAGAAACCCACTCCTTCATACTCGAATAAATACACACCCATTGTACTGATATTGGCTAAGCATCACACTACATGACAAGCCTGCCTAGACGACTTTGTTAATATTAACCTA